TATATATATATATATAAATGCATATTTTTTTTATCATCAATTCAATCAAAAAGTCTTTCAAGATGTATGTTGAACATGTTAAATCAAGACATAAAATACTCAATCATTATTATATATTATCTAGACTAGTAAGATATTATTTGATTCGGGAAAAAAGTAATTTCAGATATAACAAGATATCAAGATAATAACAAGATATCCATCAAATAACATCAAAAGGCTGAAAAATATTGAGATGTAATATATGTTTTTCTATGCTGTCCAGGTATATTTGCACACCCATAATGATACAGACCGTCAAGATTTTATGCACACTGTGGACGTATGGAATATGACACATTTTATAAACAGCGTTTACTGACTTATCCCTAATTGACTGCAGCCACGCACACAATCATTTATTAGTTTAATTAAGAGCAACTCAGCACAGCTGAAATCTGACAGGCTGTCTCTCCTCTCACAGAACGCAGTGTGTGTGTCTGTGTGTGTCTGTGTGTGTTAAGAGAGTAAGTCAGCATGAAAAGTGTGAGTTTGTATAAGAAAGCGAGGAAGACACTAAAGAGAAAGAAAAACAAACAACGGCCTGACAGAAAAATCTAAATTGGTTTCTTGTCAGGCTCTGTGTGGAGAACAATTTCCACGGAGGCTCGCGGGCCATTAGAAATACAAATTTATTCGTTCCCACAACACACACAAACACAAACACTGCTACAGATGGAGCACTAGATGCAGATTATGCTGCTGAGTGAGACAGTAAGTATTTAGTTAAAGAATGCCAAAGGGTGGAAAGTTCGGTTTAGTTTGGTCAAGAGTTTCAATCTGGAATGTCATGCCATCTGAGTGGACAGAGGGAGGCCTTGTCATTTAAAGGGACAGTTCACCCAAAAATGACAATTCTGACATTACTTATGTCATTTATTCACCCTGTGTAACGTAAGTGTGTGAGTGTGTTATTACCATGAGGATGCGTCGGTAGCTGTCTCTGTCTATTCCCCACAGTTTCAGGTCAGTCTTGGCTTTCACAGTAGCAGCTCGAGGAGTTCCGTATATCAGGGCTAACTCTCCAAAACTACCACCCTCTCCGATACTAGTCACCCATTCACCGTTTACATACACCTGCAGAGAGAAAGATCATTGCTTATTTCTGTATAATGCACATGAATATGCATAATTTGTATGGTTAATTGAAGAAAGCAGCATTCACGACGCATTTGACTTCCATAATACTTCTGGATGAAACAGAATATTCATTGGGAAATAATGATTGGTTTCATCCATTGGCCCATTTTTAGGACTACTACGATTTTTATGACAATTAAGCATATACCAAGATTGCCAAAATTCTTAATTCTACTGCATTATAAAATAAAATCGAATTTGCATTAATAATGTAATGTAATATAATTGATTGAAAAAAAACATTTGAAAGAAGTTTTTTTTTAAAGTGCATTTATTATTTTATTTGATTAAAAACAGTAAAATTGTGAAATATTATTACAATTTAAAATTACAGTTTCCTACTTGAATATATTTTCAAATGTAATGTATTCTTGTGATGCAAAGCTGAATTTTCAGCATCATTACTCCAGTCTTCAATGTCACTTCAGAAATTATATTTGTATTACACCAATGAGGATAGAATTGGGGAGCCTGGTCTCATGAAAATGCGTATAAATAGTACGCCAAATAAAAACGAAAACTCGTGGTATTGATACGCAAAAATGGACTTTGGTGTGTATATGCTATGCACGTGTTTGGCGTGCATATAATACACAGTTTTCGCGTGCATATGATACGAAATTTGTTGGCGTGCATATGATATGCAGTTTTCGCTTGCATATGATACAAAATTTGTTGGCATGCATATGATACGCAGTTTTCACGTACATATGATACGCATCTACCCCACAACCCTAATCCTACCCATCACGTAGTATATACACGCCAAAGTCCATTTATGCATATCAATACCACGAGTTTTCGTTTTTATTTGGCGTACTATTTATACGCACTTTCATGAGATCGGGATAAATTGGGAGAAAATGTGCTGTCATGACAACAATGTTACCTTCACACATTTCTTGTGAAATTCACCTATTACATTTTGAATAATATTATAAAAATGAATACCGTGTCCATCTTCAAGGACTGACAGAACTCTCGTTTCATATTAACGATAGTCAAGGGCATTCAGAGTGAGACAGGTGATCTGATAACACACTCGCTCCTTCTATCTTCTCAACCTGGTTGGATCCTCTAAAGTGTCTTATGAGGAATTAGATAACACCTCAAGACTCTTTCCCTTGTTTTGTCTTTATTTTGGCATAACCGTAAGATGCTACTAAAGAGAATCTCTCAATGAATCTGTGTGTCAGCATGTGGTTTTCAACAGCCACACACAGAGAAGCACAAGGAGCCTCTTTCTCATTTTCCAGAGGCTGGTTCGGTTTCACCTGTGGACACACAATCCAGTTGTTGAATTTATGAGGAGAGATAACAAAAAAAAAGCTAACACATGGGGCAGAAATAAACGCTCATCTTCTGTCCGGCCTGGGCCAGGCGTCCTGCCAGCCATCTAAGACACATTCCACAGGTATCTCTGCTCTCCAGACCGGCCACTGGAACAGGTTCGGGTCACAGCCTACTTAGAGCCAGCCAACATGTCACTTAAGGTGAGAAAGTGTGCTTACTATTCTTGCAATAAGCCTTCTGTCACATATTAAAGGGATTGTTCACCCAAAAATGAAAATTCTGCCATCATTTACTGACCCTCAAGTTGTTCCAAACCTATAGGAGTTTCTTTCTTCTGTTGAACATAAAAGAAGATTTTTGAAGAATGTTGGTAATCAAACAGCTGCTGGTAGCCATTGACTTCTATAGCATTTTTTTTCCATACTATGGAAGTCAATGGCTACCAGCAACTGTTTGGTTACCAACATTCTTCAAAATATCTTTTTTGTGTGTGTGTGTTTAGCAGATACAGGTTTGGAATTCATACAGGTTTGGAACAACTTGAGGGTGAGTAAATGATGACAAAAATTAAATTTTTGGGTTAACTATCCCTTAAGTCATATATTACTTCAAGTGACTGAAAGTGCATGTTTTCTTCACAAGAGTGTGTGCGCGTGTTAATGAATTCCAACTTTCCCAATTAGCATGCAGTACTACGAGCTCCAAAGTCACAGCAGATTTATCCTTTCTGCTAATGAGAGACATCACCGTCGCATTGGAGATGCATTCCAGCACATTTGCGTATGTCTGGGAGGTTTATGGAGCTGTGTGTTCTCACTTACACGTATGAGAAGACGGGTTAATGTCTGTATTTTGCATGTGTTTGACAGCATTAGCATGGCGTACGGTGGACTGAGCGAGCAGGGCTCTGCTGGTCTCAGTGCGCTGGCTCCGACCCAAGAGCTCGATGCGCCGCAATCTGATGTGGCCGTGACCCAGTGCTGACTCAACGTGCCCTCGGAGAAATATTAGCACTGATATATCACACAGCAGATCACTGAGCACATACACAAGGAGAACAGACTCAAGACAAACAAGACTGTTAATAGCATTAAAAATACTGAGATCAGCAGGGTTTTCTTGATCTTTTAACATAAAATAAAATAAATATGGACGAATTATGTAGGCATACTCTAAAATCTCTAGATTCAAAAATGGACCAATCAGAAATTGTTAATGTTATGATGTCACAAGCACGAGCACATTAACATATGATTACTCACATTTCTGCTCGACTGTTCAAAAGTGTGGTGTCAGTAAGATTTTTTCAAGGAAATTAGTACTTTTATTCAGCAAGGATGCATTAAATTGATCAAAAGTCAAAAGTAAAGACTTTTATAATTTTACAAAAAATTATGTTTCATATAAATGCTGTTTCTATTCACCAAAGAATCCTGAAAAAAATGTGACACAAGCAGCACAACTGTTTTCGACATTGCTAATAATAATACATTAGAGATGCACCGATTTAAATTTTCTTGGCTGATTCCGATTTCCGATTTTTTTGTTAGCGTGATCTGCCGATACCGATTTTTGTCGATTACGATTTTCTTTCTAAGAACTATAATTGACAGCATATAAAAACAAAAATCTACTTTTCTTCAACGCAAAGTTTTATTTTAATTAAAAAAAACACAAGTAAAAAGTCAGTAATAAAATAAGAACAAATAAAAAAATTGCAAACAACAGCACAAATAAATGCAATAGAATAAAGAGCGCTATGAAACTAAGTTTTTCAGGTAAAGTAAGTTTTTATTCAGGTAAGAAATCACATGTAAAATAACACATCCAGTAATTTCTGTAGTTTTCATTGTAAAAATTAAATACAGATTAATGCTTACCATTAAAGTTATAAAACGTATTCAGTCAAGAGCAGAAAGTGATTTTCTTTGTCTTTTGATTAACATGACAGACAGCAGCAGGAATATTGGACTGCGGTCCCTTTAAGAGTTTATCCACAAACCCAATATACTGTTACACAACATGCGTTCTCTTTCTCAACTATTTAATGTTCCAAAACTGACTGTGTTTAACTGGATCCTCGCCAAGATGGGCATTTTGACATAATTTTGTATGTATATGAACGTCTTAGTGCAGTTAGCCACTCATTTTGGTATTTGTGGCTCACAAGCTTTTTTGAGACTGAGCGCGGCTTGTGCGCTCCACTAATATAGATCAGTGGTGGTGCGCGCGTTTTTGGTGTAACCGCGAAACCTGCGGGAATTACTAAAATAATGTGCAATACAAGCATTATTTAACCGGAGCTAATGAGACGTGTGTGAGAGAGAAGGGGTCGTCGGAGAGAAGAGAGTGAGAATGCGCGGCTGATGTTATTGCCTGTGCCGCTGGTAACAAAACGGATCGGCTCGGAATCAGAAAGAAGTGAGACTGACCGACCGATAACCGATCCGGGCCGATCATGAGGAAAATCGGTCGATTCCGATCCCTGGCCGATCGATCGGTGCATCTCTATAAGTAATGTTTTTTGAGCAGCAAATCATCATATCAGAGTGATGTCTGAAGGAACATGTGACACTGAAGACTGGAGTAATGATGCTGAAAATTCAGCTTTGATCACAGGAATAAATTACATTTTAAAATATATTAAAATAGAAAGCAGTTGTTTTAATTTGTAATAATATTTCACAATATTACTTTTTTTTACTGATCAAATAAATGCAGACTTTGTGAACATGAGACTTCTTTCAAAAACTAAAAAAATCTTATTAGCCCCAAACATTTGAACGGTAGCATATATTCATATTCATTCACATTTACTATTCATTATTCAGCAACTTGGTATGGCAGTTGTTAGTTGTTTCACATGTAATGAGATCATTTACATATCTTAAATGTGCAGTAGCAAAAACAGTCTGTTTAAATGGTCATAGAGTGCGTGGAAAATGGTCATAAAAACTAAACTATGACTGTTTTCAGTTCGAGAAGCCATGACTGCAATTATTAATGGACTCTTGGGGAAAAATAAAATGCTAGAAAAGATTACAAGACCCCTGTAAACTAAATAATCCTGTTTACTACTAACTGGAAATTATTTCAGATTCCCAAGATGATAAACACAACTTCTGAGAGAACAAAAAAAATGCATTTACAAAGAAAATCTATTTTAAAGCTTCTTATCTTCTCTTTAAAACAAAACATGGGAAGTGGATTCTCTGTGGAGATAATGACACATCATTTCACTTGAACTTTATCCATGGTCCATCCATTTTGGGAAGGTAAAACAATGGCAGTAAGTGGTCCAGTTTTTTGTAGTGTTAAAAAAGGGCAGTGGGTAAGATTTTTATCATACAGCACAGATCTACTATTATATGTCTGGAGGTTTCACCAATTCTAATTTCCTAACTGGGTGAATGTCACAAAAACAAGCCCAGGTAACATTTCACTCCACTCCAAGTCAATGGGGAAAACACAGTTTAAACTTTGCCTTAAGGAAATTAGTACAATTAAGTACACTTTCATCGACAAACTGTCATTAGTGTATAGATTTTTTTTATTATTAATTTTTAAATGTATGACACCAATACCAATGAAACCAATAATTAATTAAAAAAAAAATATATATATACATGAAAGAAAAAGATGTTAGAAAAAAGGGGGAAAAACAGTTTCATGGTCCTAAAAAAAGGTGTACATTTCTCTGGGCAACAGAGTGATATACAACAAACTTTTCATAAGATTCACCCAACTTGCTATACGGATGAATGTATTGCGGATGTCGACATGTTCTTTGCTTTCTTAGGCCTTAATGAATTTGGCTTGATGAGTTTATCTTAATAAGTTGCATATACGACAGCACATGTGTGAGTTTGACTGTAGAAACAGGTATGAAATACTGAACTCACGTCAACTTCTCCTTGATCAATCACATAGAAGTTGTCTCCTTCATCACCTGAGAAAGAAACAAGAGAAAGCTGAGTTTGTTCCAATCGACCAACTTCAGGAAAAACACTACCGATAAATAGCAATCTTTCCTTCTTCCTTCTTCTTGTTTTTCTGCTCAGTTGTGAAAATCCATTTAAAATACTGAACATACACTACCATTTCAAAGTTTGGGGTCGGTAAGATTTTGTATAATCTTTTTAAAAGAAGTCTCACCAAGGCTGCAATTATTTGTTACAGTAAAACAGTAATATTGTGAAATATTATTACAATTTAAACAGAATGTTTTTAATTTAAATATATTGTAAAATGTAATTTATTTGTGTGATGCAAAGCTGAATTTTCAGCATCATTACTCCAGTCTTCAGTGTCACATGATCCTTCAGAAATCATTCTGATATTTTGATTTGCTGCTCAAGAAACATTTATTATTATTAGTGATGTTGAAAACAGATGTGCTGCTTAATATTTTTGTGGAAACCATGATCAGTTTTTTTCAGGGTTCTTCAATTAACAGCATTTATATGAAGTAGTAACAATGTGACAGTCTTTACTGTCACTTTTGGTCAATTTAATGCATCCTTGCTGAATAAAATTATAAATTTCTTTAAAAAAAAATACTTTTGAATGGTTGTCTATAAGGTTTAAATGCATTTATATATCTGTTAAAAGTTCATTTTTCAACCTTTTAGGCATGCATTAGCATCTACATGACCAAAAATAGCCTAAAAGCCAAAAAACTCCCATTTTAATTTCATGGGACCTTTAAATTCAAGATGGAAAGGAGGAAAAGATAAATAATGTTGTCTCATTCCCAGATTCCATCTCTTTCCGACTCCCCATTTCCCAAGAACACACACTTACAGTCGTGCATATCAAAGATAAAAGATGGCACACCACTTTAAAACCGTCAGCACCTCCCAGAGCAGTGCCATCTAAATGATTCCCAGGCTTCATCTTCTACAGCCCATTTGAGAGTTTTTAATGGATGGCTGGGTGTGCCAGAAGCCAACATTTCCAAGTTAAATGCCGTTACAGCATTTCTGTAGGTTCAGAGGCTCTTTGATGTCGGAGTGTGTGTTGAAATTGGTGTTTGGGATCCTGGTAGCGAGCGTGTGTGTTGGCGCATGCCGAAGAGTTAAAAGAGCCTGTGATCTGTGCGCAGCCACGTTCACGCAGGTTCACGGGGCTAATTAACACCGAACACACTAAGCGCTCGTAAATCACACAAGCAATTTATCTTAACACACTCACCGATCACTAGTGGCTTACACACCGTTTCTCTCTCTTTCAACCCGTTCAGCTCATTTTTCTTAGTATTGTTCCTGTCTTCCTGTCTTTCATCACCTCTGCTCTGAAGTTTCTGTTTTTTGGCTAACAGATCCTTGAGTCACAGAGTGCAGTCAAATATTTGATGAGAACAAAAACTCACACATGCACACTTCTACACACACACACACACACACACACACACACACACAAACAAAACTTTGCACATTCCTAGATCTATTTTATGGGCAATCTGCCCATGTTAGATAAATGCTTCGAAACTCTGGTTCAAGAATCACATTGCACAGAGAGTATGTAAGAAGTGCATGCAGTTCACTGTTCCCTATCGCTTTATGAACTCCACATGAAACCAAAAAAAGAGCTCATTGTTTAACTGTAGAAAAAACCCTCATCACCCACCATTCCTTCTTACATAACAATCTGCAATGCATTTGTACACTTAGTATCAGTATTAGTTTTGACTTTGTGGTTGCTCTTCCATAGGTCAACATGAAGGTGTCATCATTCAGCCTTGTCTTCTCCTAAAATTGCTTAGTGTGACTGTTGGCATAGGCCTGAATGTGGATAGAATAGGATAGAGAGCATTGGTCTCTGTTTGGCTTTATATTGTAGATGACTGTATCATGGCAAATACAGTTGAGATCTTTTCTAGAGACACATTTCTGGGATCATTTTCTTCTGGAGAAACAACAGGAGATTTCAGCTACCGTCTCCATATGCTTTGAAATACTTCAGTCTTTCTGCTTCCAAATTTCCAATTCAATTCAATTTATCACTTGCCATTTCTTTGAAATAATTTGTGAGATATACAAGCAATTTCTTGATGAAAACTGATCCACTGCATGCACTGCATAAATGTAATGTAAAATTAAATACGTTACATGAAATTTATGAGGTTTCATTTGCCATTATGTTTCAAAATACTATAATATTCAGAACAATAGGAATGTATCATAAGCCCATTTAGACTGTAGTAAAATGATTCCTCAGAATTTAGCTAAATCTTGGATATCCTTGGTTTAAAGACATTAAAAGGATATCTTCAAAGATTAAAAAGGTTTACAATTTAAATTTTTTTTAATACTAAAAATGAAAAAGGTTTTCTTTTTAGGATTGTTAAAGGGTTAGTTCACACCAAAATGAAATTCTGTCATGAATTACTCACCCTCATGTCGTTCCAAGCCCGTAAGACCTTAGTTCATCTTCGGAACACAAATTAAGATATTTTTGATGAAATCTGAGAGCTGTCTGACCCTGCATAGACAGCAACACAACTGAAATGTTCCTAGACAGAAATGTAGCAAGGACATCGGTAAAACAGTCCATGTGACATCAGTGGCTCAACTTCAATTTTGCGAAGCTACGAGAATACTTTTTGTGCGCAAAGAAAACAAAAATGACGACTTTATTCAACAATTCTTCTCCCCTGGAGTTACTGTCTTCCACCATTTTGAAGAGTATCACAACGCATACACACGCTTTACCCTAAGTGTAAACAACACTGATTACGCAGATTACGTTCATGCACGCGCTTTCCTCTACTAACATAAACAATGCCGATTACGTTCTTGGGTACTCTCCAAAATGGCAGAAGACAGTAACTCCAGGGGAGAAGAATTGTTGAATAAAGTCGTCATTTTTGTTTTCTTTGCGCACAAAAAGTATTCTCGTAGCTTCGCAAAATTGAAGTTGAGCCACTGATGTCACATGGACTGTTTTACCGATGTCCTTGCTACGTTTCTGTCTGGGAACATTTCAGTTGCGTTGCCGTCTATGGGAGGGTCAGACAGCTCTCAGATTCCATCAAAAATATCTCAATTTGTATTCCGAAGATGAAAGGAGGTCTTATGGGCTTTGAATGACATGAGGGCGAGTAATTAATGACAGAATTTTCATTTTGGGATGAACTAACCCTTTAAGTTTGGGTTAGTCTGTAGTTTAGTTTTATTTATTTATTAGCTTTAATTAAAAAAAAATAGAAGTTCAGAGCAAAGGTGCCCACCTTTTTGACTCAAAGGCCCTTCATTTTCATTTTCCAAAACAATATTCAAAGACCCACCAATATAAGGTTTCTTCAGTATTTCTGTTGTAATTATGACAAAGCTGTTTTCCAATATATATTTTTTAACAAAATGAATTGTGGTTAATTAATATATCAACACTCACCGTGAGTGTTGATATATTAACTAACCACAATTCATTTTGTGACTCCAGAAAGTTTAATAACTATGTAAAAAAGAAAAAAAAAGAAAACCTATATATATATATATATATATATATATATATATATATATATATATATATAAATTGTCATTAAGGGGG